ATAGCAAACTAGCTATTGCACCCGCCCACTGCCGCTATCAATCAGCAGAGGGGGACCTGCAGTTCTCCATCAGGTCCCCCTCTGGTGATTGACAGCAGCAGAGGCCGGGTGCAATAGCTAGTTTGCTATTGGCAATTGCAAATTGAAATAGCCAATAGGAATCATGCTATGCATTCCTATGGTGTGTTCGGTTTTCTTTTTGGGTTTTTTCTGACGGCAGCAGAACCGCCCGGCCAATAGAAAACAGTTGGGCGGAGCTAGCTGTCACTGCTAGCTCCGCACAATCGTTTTCTAATCCTTTTTTTTCTACTTTTGAAACTATTTTTCTATCCTGCTCGGTTCCACAGAGGGACCAAGCAGAACAGCCGAGCTATTTACTCACTGCTGTTCGGCATCTATGAGAATAGACCGAACAGCAGCGAGTAGTCTGCAGAGGTTCGGCTTAGCCGATCCAGATGTTGGATCGGCTACCATAGTTAATGCCATCATGTTTTTGTAGAATTTACCTGAAATTTTGGCAAACCATCCAATCCTGGGAAATCCTCTAGATCACCAGTTGCAATATTAAAACATGCTCCATGCCATGGACAACGCACTCTTCCTCTGGAGAGTACACCTGTGTGTGGATAAATGGAAAATCACTTCACTGTAAGCATGACGACATCAAAAAAGTTATTCGTACTGATCTTAAAAATACAGTGGAAATGTCAAAGTTTTATACCAATCCAAATACAAGCTAAAGTACATTAACAATAGAAATTTTTTTCCAATTACCTTCAAGCTAATTTGCTTTGGTTTTTTTTTTATGTGAGAACAGTGAGATAGAATGTGAGATACATTCATTTTAGATCCTAAAGGTCTAAAATCTCTGTATTTTGCTTTAAAGGCTGCTGAAGCCACCAATTACTCGCAAATACAGTCATGCTGGGGGAGTTTCAGTGGCATTTGATTTACCAAAGGTAAATAGGCTGTTTACTGTGCAACGAAATTTTCACTTTGCAAGGGAATTCTTTCTTGCTTAGCGAATGCGGTGAAAATTCACTTTTCATAGAATACCCAATCACATACAAGAAAATTAAAAAATGCTTGCACATGATTTGATGATGGAAGTTAGTAATGTAGAGGAAGTAGGTAGAGCTATAAGGATTCAACAAATCTCTGTCCACTCTAAAAGCACTATTGTGTGCAGGGAAATAAAAAGACACGATTTAGCCTTCCATATGATTGGATTATTTAAGTAAACACAACTTCCCTTTGCTAGGTTAGCATTTTCTATTCCTTTTGTATATCAACCACACGGAGTCTGCAAATATTTTGTATGAAGAAAATCAATGTGATTTTACAATTAATTCAGTTGACAAATGTACTCAACACACCAGTATACTCTCCTATGTTACCAAAAGGAAATTACTTTTTGTGAGTCATATTTTATTTTTTTAACTATGAAATGGCTGGAAGACGAAGAAGATCCCAACCTTTAACTAAAGGTGCCCCATAGTGAGGGCATTTGTGTCCCATTGCATAGTATTCTCCATGCTGCTTAATAAGCAAAGCTTTGCCGCATCCCAAGTCAACCTCCCGCATCCTAGGGGTAAACATGAAATAACAATTATTATTGATATACATTATTATGGATTTTTGCAAACTGTGACATCATGTAGTGCTGCAGAACTTTCTATCCCATATCAAATGCAGCTCACATGCATGAATGCCTATGGATATGCTCACTAGCCAAGTCCATCTAACTCTAAGTGCATATATTAAAAAATGTTTGAAGTTCATTTTACTGTGCCAATGGACCGCAGCCGACCTCTGTGAGGAATGCAAGTGTCGATACATTTTATTTTATTGCCCTCTAGGGAAACTTTAAGTCACTACAACTCAAAATCGCTAAGAATTAGTTCTCACTTGTTTCAGAATGCTCATCTGTCATTTAAACATATTTATCTTTGTAGTCACTACTCATAGAATCAGTTATAGTTTTCATGGCACACACAGTACCTGGCACATGTACGGACAACAGATCAGATAGGTCAGATTTTGCCAAGTTCCTGCTTAGGTGTTTTGGACTAATTAAATTGAGCTTATTGTCACTTTGCTTCTCTCTGAAGCTTCTTGAAGTACTTTAGGCATATCTACTGAGTGACTGTGTGACATGTGCCTTCACCATGCCAATCAAAGATGTAATGTATGTAGTAAAATACGTGCATTCTATTCAAGCCCTCAAGCAAAGCAGTCATGAAAAAAAAAAACCACTAGGGTATTCCAATTTGAATTCTAGAAATTTACATTTAGGATATATAGTAATAATAATGACACTAATAACAATGATTATCATATGAGTATAATCATAAAATTAACTGAACTATTATTATCAAACTGAGAAAAAAAGGTAAATGTTTGCTGATATAATACTGCTAATTACAGAATAAAACATGAGCACATACTGGCCATTCTCCAGGTCCTTTACATGGCACACGGAAGCTTCCACCATGTCTTTGGGATTGGTGTAAGGATTAAGAACAATGGATCTCTCTTCATGGTGATAGTGTCGCGTTGTTCCATTTGCTTTGTATGCAAGAGGACTGGCCTTCCCATTGGGAGACAATTCTTCTTTTTCCCTTTCTTTTTCTGGCAGAACAACTTCAACTTTGACTTCCACTGCAAAAGGCACAGCGTGGTCAAATCTTTTAAATAGTGTTTTGCAAATATTGTAATTGTACAAAAAAGTTTCAAATAATAGGACATGGTGGCAATATGAGCAACATAACACAAATATCAAGGATTATAGACTTACACATACACAAACAAATCAATATCGTTTGTAAAATGTTCACAGAAGTTGCCAGTTTCACCAGGCAGATTCTGTATACCCAGGACATGGTTTATTGTGTTTTTCCAAGGATTTTAGATTTAACGGACCAGTACCAAAAGCAGAGATTTTGTACTGATAACTGTATGAGGTTTCTACATATAATCATACTATTTAACATACAAATCCCTTTAATTTTTATTTCACATAACTTTATGTATATTGTTTTCCACATTTACATGCAGACCAAGCTGCTTAGCAAAAGGACCATTACAGAGGTTTGTGAAAACTATGATGCTGCCAGGGATGTTAAAAATAGATACGGAAACAGTTTCTGTTAAATAAGACATTACTGCTAGCAGCATTATAGTTTGTTCCAACACTTGTTACTGTCACTTTTGCTGAACAGCTTGGTGTGTAGGTCGATATGCAGAAAAATATCAATGAAAAAAAAAACTGAATTCATGTTCTGAATACTGTCATTACATGCACTATACCAATACCATTATCAGAATATGATGTTGTGCAATAGTGGCTCTGTAATGAAAGAAATTAAAGTGAATCAGTACCCGAATCATGCACACTAAAGTACATACATATCCTGAACAAGCAGTAAAGGCAGATTAAAACAAACCCTCAGTCACCCCTGTATCCATGAGCTTTGTGAAGAAATTACTTTTCAACCTTCTTAACACAGCCATTGAAACCATTGTTTTTTCTAATTACTTTCTATTGCCCCAGAATCTTGGCACTCTGCAAACCCTTTAATGTAAACAGACAGTGGGTATTTCTAAACTGTTTGAAACTGTTTGGAACCCAACTCTAGTCCTTGTTGTGATCTTTGAGAATAATTTCACAATAGAAGCAGATAAAGAGGTCAGGGATGACTTGTATTAAAGCTCTTTTACTGCTTGGTACCAACACGTAATTAGTTTAAGCTAGGTTCACAGTGTTGTGCTGAGTTACAGCATGTTATGCCATGGTAATCTGCATTGCATTGAGGTGGTGCATCCATTTAAATGACTGCTTAACGCACTAAAAATGCACCAGAGAGGTGCATGCAGCATTTGCAGCAGAGCAGTATGTGTTAGTGTGTTGGTATTCGCTGTGCTGTGCTGTAACAAAAGTGCATTGAGAAGGTCCATTGGTGCCATGGCATCACATCATACCACAGCACAATAGTGTGAGCGGGGACAAAATGTCCATAGCCGAAGTACAGTTGCACTACAAACAGTATATAATGCTCAAAACCCACTGTATGCACCATAAATTGCCTGCGCCTACTTGCACAGGATCACTGGCCTTCTTTATACACTACTGGATCCATTCAAAAATCCTATGCAGATACCAGATATCTAAAAATTTGTATTAGAGTGCCGCAAAGCTTCAGCAATAATTTTGCATAGCTTCTTGTCAATAAATAGATGCTTTAAAGCAGAACTTGAATTAGAAATCACCATTCAGAACCTGCTCTGGGAAATTACATCTGGAAGCCAAGAGCTCCAAGTACTCACACCTGGATATATGTGAGCATCATGTTTATGAAGAACCTCTAAGGTTTCTACTGTATGGACAGTTAGCTGAATTCTCCACTTGGCTTAGTTTATTGAACATAATTTACATAAATGTAGCAAAGGGAAAATAGAACTGCTGTTCAAAGTAACTTAGCAGGCTCTAACGATCATTATCTTTATTATCTGAATAGAATTAATTGAACACGAAATTTAACTACTTTCTGTGGGCACTTTTTAAGCTCAAGTTTTTTTTTTAAATCAGCATTTTGGGCTCTAAAGCAGATGCAAAGTTATTTAATAATCTATTTGGGAAATCCTAAATCTTTTTAAATGCATTTTCAATTAAAATAATTGAATTTTTTGTAAGTTATAATGAACAGTCAAAAAATCTGCCCTTTTTCAAACTGTCCCCTGCTGTTAAAAGAGTGAAGGGATTTGGAATTATTTTCATTATTGTGGCCTCAGTTTGCGGCATAAAAACTATATTAGTCTAAGCTTATTATAGTAAACATTCTGTGCTCATTTTAGCTGAATGTTCTGTACATGAAAGAAACTGAAGTGTAATTTTCCTTGGATTAATTGTAACCTAGAGCGTTCTTTAATCCTCCCTGCAAGAGTGCAGAATTAACATTCCTTCCAGCAGTCACCCTGCAGAGTCTCTAAGTCTGACCCAGTTTGTTGTGCATAGCAGTATGAAACATAACATGCAATGTAATATTAATGGGCTCTCACCTGGTTTGGGTTTGGAGAAGCATCCCCCCATGATGGTTTATTACAAAAAACGATGAAAAACACAAAACATGCAATGGTCCCCCAAAGACAGAAGTTATATGGGATTCTAAGCCATACTTTGATTGAGTAGATACTATAAGAGCCTGAAACTTAAAGTAGAGACGAAGTGTGTCCAAATGGTTGACAGAAACTGCCTCTTCATTTTGGGAGGGGTCTTCAAAGAATGCCTAGGTAAGACACAAGAGTCCTGTTAGAAAGCTGTACATTGATCTTTATCTTCTTTATAATACATCCCCAAAAGCTAGCCAGCATTGCTTCTAAAATTGCCAAAAGAAAAAACAGTCAGTAAGATCATTGTACCACCCATTGGTCAGAGCCTGATCTGCTAATCAAATATTCTAATTACTCAAAATTATTTTTCAGGAAGGTTAAAAAACCAAGGTTCCTGAGTGCATTGCCTGAAGTCTGATCACTTGTACTGTGTACTCTAGTGATATCGCTTTCATGGCAAATTGGTTAGAACTAATCACCATCACATGACAATGTTTGGGCCAGGCTAACTGCTTAGGCCCAGGCAGTATGGGGAGGAGGTCAAATAGTCCCCCATACCCAGAATCACCAGGTAATTTGCAGAGCTGAAACAGAAGAATGAATGGCAGGGAAGCGCCACAAGGTATGTACGAGTGGGTCGGTGAGCGTGCTACCAAGAGACTCTGGGGTTGATTCATTAAAGGCAAATAGGCTGTTCACTTTGCAAGGGAATTAGCACATTTTAAAACAATTCAGACTTAGCTTATTTAGTCTGCTGACTTCTATCATTCAACCACATGCAAGCAAAAATGCTGCTTTGTTTTTCTTTCTTGCCCATGATTGGGTATTCCTTGCCAAGTGAATTTTCAGTCAAATTCACTAAGCCACATTCACTAAGGGAAAATTATTTTGCAAAGCGTGCAGCCTACTTGCCTTTAGTACATCTACCCCTTTGTCTCTATGCCTGTATTGAAAGCATGACGGGATTTGTGGATCAGTTAAAGGCCTATCATTAAACAACTGTTTCGAGTTTCTAGTTTGCAAAAACAAATGTTAATTCATAAACAATTGCACCAAATATATTCTATATTATAGTAAGCAGCTTGATCAGGTGCCAGACTACAGAACTCTGATGCTATAATATATTATGGTAAAATGTTACAAGGACATAACTCTTTTAGCCAATTTAAGGGGGTACCATACATGACCAGAAAATCCAGACCCTCTTTTTACCTGACATAAGCATCCACTCTTTAGCACTAGTTTCCTGAATACAGCAAATCATCATTATTTGAATAAAGTAACCTATTTTCTAGGTAATCGTCCTTGCTATATATCCCTATTGATTTTTCTCTATTTAGCTCAGATAATGGTGCTCTTGGAAGTGGGGATAGAATACTCATAGTGGTCAGTAAGATTCCAGTTATTTTGATAGTACATGTTCCTATCAGTCACTCTTAGCAACACACAAGTTTTCATACATAAAGCCTGAAAAGTCTGGGTATGTAAACCAAAAAATAAAAATGTAATATATTGCAACTTAGCAGCCCATAGATGTTATAGCTACATTTTTGTTTCTAATTGTTTATCTTTTTTTTTTTTGACCGAATAATAATGCCAGTAATACACATAGGGTTGGAGTGTTCCATAGTTCACAGAGGTAAATTGGGCAGGGCTGATAATACTGACTGAGATAACACCAAAGAGTACAGATTTCAGACAAGATCTACAGGTATTTTTTTCACTTGTTGACCAGGTATAATAAAACACTTTCAATGTTATATTAAACAGACTAAAAAGGAGCAAATAAAAATAGTTAGTTGTTAGGGTTTACATACACTTTAAATAGCCCATAGTATACAGTATATACCTGAGCTTAAATATATTTTCACTCATCATTCATGGTTATATTGCTGCCCTTTATTGGCCACCCTAAGCTACACTGAAAAAATAATCAGCTGGAACTTCATTGTTTCATCATCTCTGCAGCAGGAAACGTCAGCATGTTTTAGAAAAATGGTCAGATTCCTAAAGAACCAGTTATAGCAATGCTCCAGCATTGTCTAACAAGAGTCAGCAAAACCTACCTTAACAAATGAAGAAAATGTGAATGTTAGAAATGATGAGGAGACAGGCACATTATCTGTCTCCCCTAGTACAATGGCAAGAAGCTGGGAAGTCAACATAGCATTGTTTAACTCTATAAAATGTCACCTCCCAGAGGGTTTATTTGCTACAGCAAATGGTACGAAGTATTAAAATCCTTGGCTAAGGGCCGGCAATCTTGGAACAAGGACAATATAATCCCAGCTTTGATTCTGCCTTTCTTAAAAGTGACCTGCCTGCAAGTGACCATTTTCTAAGTATTTCATTTTCCAATACTAATCCCCTGAGGGTTGCACAAAGACACACGTACTTATAAAGGCACTACTTGTTCTACTATGCTATTATTGTCTGAGCCGCAGATTTTCCTGTGTTCTTTTTGTTGGATCCAGACACCAAGTGGACCCATTACATTATCTAAACTTAAATCTTAGTGACTAGCATATTGAATGAATACAACTACGCATTTAAAGCATTTTGTTAAATAATCACTTCCTTAATAAACATAGAAAGTAAGTCATGTCATAACAATGACCATTGTCCTTCATCTTTTAATACATGAAAAAATTATGTGTATGTGCACTGATTAGAGTAGCCAGATCTTCAGTGATTTCAAATAAAGGTGTCCATAGATAAAGGATGACAGCCTCACAATACAGTAATTTTCTAATATTTGGGGCACTAGCTGACAGAAGGAATGAGCGGAATGATTCTGCTGAACTTGGATTTGCAGCAAAGTTACTGTTAGCCTTTGCTAAAAAATCATAAAAACATAATAATGTTTCACCTTGTTGCCTTTTTAAATGTTGCTTAAATGTGCCTGAAAACAAATCATATAGCTATGTTTTTTCTCAAAGCCATTTGATCACCATGTCAGTGGTGATATGGTAATCAATGACTTTGTTTAACAAAGCCACCCCATCGCTAACCACTTTTGCAGCCAAATTTGGGTAATACCTACTTTATATTTGTTATATGTTCCCAATTATACAGCATAACTTTAAAAAAAGTAAAAGTTTCAGTTTACTGTTTTTTGGTGTTCTTTCTGCTAATTCCAGGACTGAGAAAATCCTGCTTAGTTCTCACTGTCTAGAGGTTGGGGGAGTTTTGTTTCAAATATTTAAACCTGTCTGTACTGTGGTGGCAGATTCTATTATCACTTGTAAACTAGATGAGGAGGACTGTTTATCCTATGTAAAGTTGGGGAGTTCACAGAGCACTCTCACAGAGGTTATTCCACAAACAATCGTTTTTATTTTCCTCTTCAGGGCAGTCAAAGCGGTAAACACAGATGTAAGCTTATCTTCAGCAAAACCTAAAGCAAAAGTCCATATCTCCCGCACAAATACGGTAAAATAAATGTGCCTCACCGACTTGTCATACAGAGTCCCAAACTTAGCGAAATCCCTTCCCAGGAATATACAGTAAGTCCTGAATCTCAGTAATACAGCAGGTTTCTCACACATCAGCCACAGCTGATCACTTTCTCCTCACAACTCCCACAGTCCTCTCTGGAGTTGCAGACTTTTCAAACCACTTCCTGTGACCGGAAGGTTAACCCTCTGGTGACCACAACCCAAACAGCGGTGAGATATACCTGCCTTCATGGACCCAGCCTTGCTGTCCTCTACACCTAACAAAGGGTTAAAGCCCTGAGGACCTTGCATGTTAATGAGGAGATGCTCAGTCTGTCCTAAGTCTTTCTATTAGGACAGTCAGAGTTTGCAGTTACTGAAATTGAGAGAGGAGCATGCAAGGCCTGTTAAATAGAGATGGGCAGTGGCGTAACTACCACCATAGCGACCCACGCGGTCGCTATGGGGCCCGGGGCAGAGGGGCACGGTCATGGGGGCGAGGGGTTCAGCCGTGTAGGTGGAGGACGAGACCCGGCTGCTGCGGAGGAGACTGGGGCCCTCGGCCGTGGAGTAGGAAGCCAGGGTACGGAGGAGGAGGCCGGGCCCGGAAGAAGATACCGGGGATCAGCAGTGAAGTGGAGGATGCCGGGGTTCGGCGGCGAGATGAGAATTCAAAACAGTCTTATATGCACTTGTGACAGCTAAAAAATGATCCTCGCACATCGTGCTGCTCCTTTAAGGACTAGGGGACCTTGACTCGATTTCTAAAACAAAAACACAGAGCGCCCCGAGATGTGCAGGATAATTTTTTATTTTAATGGATAATGCATAAAACAGTGCACTGTAAGAGCCATGATTGGGCCAAGTAATGATTACTTGGCCCAATCATGGCTCATAGCTAAGTCCCAGCCCCACACTTTACAAGGCTATATAAGGCAGCATTATGTAGTGTGTTGTTGGAGTTAAAGATAGATTGTAGTGTAGCACAGTGTAGTGTAGACAAAGATAACTGGTGCCAGTGCTTTATACAGCATGTTAGTGCTATATACAGTACTTTGTACTGTGTATTGTATTATTGTATCTGCTGTATATTTACTGTGTTTTCTTTTTTTTTGTGTGTCAGTGGCGTTGCTGGTGTTCCTCCTTTTGCGTTACCAGTTTTCCCATTTTTTTTTCTTTTTGAAATTGCTCTTCTTTTTGAATTTGTTTTTATATTTACTTTTTTTTCAGCAGCAGGTTCTTTTGCTTCCTCATTGCTATTACCCCTTCCGTGTAGCAGGTGTTCCCCCTTCTGCGTCACCGGTGTTCCATTTAAAAAAAAAATATTTTTACTTTTTTTTCAGCAGCAGGTTTTTTTGCTGCGTCATGGGAGTTCCCCCCTTCTGCATCGCAGGTGTTCCCATTTTTTTTTTCTCTCTCTTTTTTTAATTTTTTGTTTTTTTTGTTTTATAATTTTCTTGTTTTCAAAATAAGCCATTGTGCAACACCAAGCACCACATTCAATAAAGTATTGCAAGCACCAATTTCATATTCTCTAAGAACATTTTATAATAAGCCCCAGTGCTAACCAGTGGTGTATCTATGTTTTTGGCTGCCCTAGGCAAGCCAAGCTTCGGCCGCCCCCGGAACCTTACTAGCAACACCCCCCCGCCCGCTCCACGGGGGACTTGCACTCTAGTCGCACCGATACCAACCCACCCCCCTGCACCCGCGGGATTACTTGCCGTCACTTCATCACT